CCCCCTTAGTCTTGTCCTGGTATATGTTTCAGTATCAGCATATTTTTGCTCTCACAGAAGGCTTATATTAGAAACCTTCCAGACAATGTGATCATCGCTTAGATTATCTTTGGTTGCTACACTTGCACAAAGAGAATTTGTCTGTTTCAGGGTGAGCTGGAACATCAACTTTTGCAAGCAAATCCGATTCTAGAAGCATTTGGTAACAGTAAAACTGTGAAGAATGACAACTCATCCCGATTTGTGAGTCATCCGCATCTTAATACAAACACCTTTGACTTGAGAAAAGGCTTTGATAGTGGAGTGATGAGGGCTGTTTTAGGGAAAGTTCATTCGGATCAACTTTGATATGTCCGGATACATCTCGGGAGCTAACATCGAGTTTTATCTGCTTGAAAAGTCCAGGACGTTACGTCAAGCGCCGGATGAGCGAAGTTTTCACATTTTCTACCAATTCTTGCGTGGAACCTCTCCGGCAGAAAAGAGTAAGCATATCTCAGTTTTTATCTAATCAACTTCTTTTTTAAATCCCATTCCGAAAAACCTCATTTTCTTTCTCTTTCGTATTCCAATTCCATCTGTGAATTGCGTATGCTGAGAGCTTATGTGTAGGTGGCGGCGTCGCTGACTATTGACTTGTACAAGCTAGGACACATAGCGGGTTCGGCACCCAACTCACGGTCTTTTTTGACCCCGCACGCTCTATACCTTCGAGGTGTAATCAATATAGGCGTTATTTATCGTCCAGTGTTTGAGTGTGGCGACATCGTTTTCACGCTTAGAAGGCCGCGTACATAAACAGAGGCGACATCTCTGCGAAATATGAGGGAGTCGCGAGTCGAGGGAGTCGCAGAGACTGTCGAGCGCTGTGTCGGAGATAACGGTTCTCCATGAGTGCAACACGGTCTATCAAGATAAGTCTGTATCAGGTGTCCGAGAAGAGATATAGGTGAACAATCGACCGCCGCCGACGCAAGATCCAGAGATTTGGCACGATATGACCCATCAGAGTGTGCTAAAACATGCGTTGCGATATGCATGATCATTGTGCCCGTGCGGAATGCATCCAGCGAGGACAAAGTGTGAACTCGTGCTGGAAGTGCGGGTAGGGGAATGCATTTGCGAGTTGTTTGTGGTCAGCGATGCGCTGGCGCTATAGGTGAGAGATAAATACAAGCAAACATCAAGTGGAAGGACGGCCAACCACTGGAAAAAGATCGAGAGCACTCTTGAGGACGAAAGAATCGGAAACACAGAATGACCAGACCAACAACCGGGTCTAATGTTGTGCATGTATGCGAAACGGGTCAGGCGTCATCTTGTCGTTTCGGAAGGCAATGCGTTGTTGCTCAGAATGCATGGAATTGTTTTTTGACTCAATAAATGTGGGGTATTTTTTTGTAGGTGTATTCGGCTTATATCGAAGTGGTAGTGTCATCCAACAATGACATTTTTTTTTCTTTGAACAGTTCTTCGAAAACGCTTCTCACTTTTTTGAGGTGCAGATCTTGGGAAATACGTTACCTAGCGTTTTTTGCCATGCTACAGAATTTGATTTCTATATCTATAATGTGGTTTGGCACAGTTTTGGCTGGTTGGTCTGCATCCAAATTATCTTTTTTCAGTGAACTACTTACTCGAAGATATCGATAAATATCGATTCTTGGTAAATGGCAATATCACGCTGCCGAATGTTGATGACGCACAAGAATTTCAAAGCACTCTCAAGTCTATGCGAATCATGGGATTCGCAGAGGATGAGATTACTTGTAAGCACTTTGAATTCCTCAAGAGGTTTTCGATGATTAATCAGGAAAGAATGACTTTACAGCTGTGCTTCGTGTTGTGTCAGCAACAATACTTATGGGTAACTTCGAATTTACACAAGAAAAGAAGTCTGATCAAGCAATACTTCCTGATGACAGGGGTGAGTATCTGTGTAGGTAATTTATGGAATGTTATATATGAAAACGACTCTTGCAGTGATCCAAAAAGTATGCCATCTTCTGGGTCTTCCAGTGATTGAACTGACTAAAGCGTTCTTGAGGCCGAGAATTAAGGTATTTTTTGTTGTTCGTATCGTCAAATACATTTACCTTTACTCATCAATGATGTTCAGGTTGGTCGTGAGTTTGTGAACAAAGCTCAAAACAAAGAGCAAGCTGAATTTGCCGTCGAAGCTATAGCCAAAGCTTCATATGAACGAATGTTCAAATGGCTTGTGAACCGCATCAACAAATCCCTTGATCGAACTCGCCGCCAAGGTGCTTCCTTCATCGGCATTCTTGATATTGCAGGGTTAGTTGCTTATGAACCTTGTTTCTCATGTTTTTTTTTCACTATCGGTGTTGTTTTCTTCACTATAAGGTGAGGAAATGTAATGTAAATAGTTACGAGTTATTGGGCACTTAGCTCGAGCTTTTTTATTGTCCTTTGTCGAGTAGTTCAGTTTACTCACCTTTCAGTTTCGAGATATTTGAGCTGAACTCGTTTGAGCAGCTTTGTATCAACTTCACAAATGAAAAACTGCAACAACTATTCAACAACACAATGTTTATCATGGAGCAAGAGGAGTACCAAAGAGAAGGTAAGCTTTGTTTTT